TACCGATCTCCTTGCTACGTTTCTGAACGTTGATCGTGGTAATTTCATTGCTGTCTATGGGAGGGTCAGAGAGCTCTCAGAACTCATCAAAAATATCTTAATTTGTGTTTCGAAGATGAACGGAGGTCTTACGGGTTTAGAACGACACGAGGGTGAGTAATTAAATACAGAATTTTCATTTTTGGGTGAACCAACCCTTTAAGATTAGTATATTCCAGTCTTTATAATAAACAAGGTGTAGATGTGGTATAAACCGGATAATTTTCTTAACAAGAAACATAATATTTTAATGTGAACATAAATGCAAAATCTTGCAAAATATGAACTTTGTCATAATCGTGCAGCCCTACAAAACAGTGTGCACGAGTTAGTGACTTTCAACCAGGAGTTAATAAGACAAGGGACTGGCAACATGCACCCACCCATAACACTCTCCATCCTGGTCTCCGAGTGATCATGCTCAAACTAAACTACACCGTAGCACTAACACATGCAGACACATTTAGTTGGTCTTTGTAAGTAATCGACACAGCATGCATGTAGACATTTGGGAGTGGGTCATTAGATGCCCATGGTTCACTGTAAAATGAGCCAAACTGAAGTATATCGAATGATCACCCTAAACATGCTGGCAGTTACAAATCCCGTTCCCAAATGAGGAATATGTAGGGGCTCCGGCTAATCTACGAAGGGCCTTTTACTTACGTCGACAGGGACGAGGAGGCTTCTGCCCAGATGCTGGTTAAAAGAGAGGCACCAGGCTTCAGTGTACCCATTCATGTTGGGAACATACTTCGTTACTGTCTCATCATTCAGTCTGAGCCAGACACCATCATCATTGTGGATCTATGGGAAACAAGCAACAGAGCGGAGCCATGCCCTCCTGTAACTGCTAAGACGCCTCTCGCACAAGCCTCTGAGGCTGCAGAGCCAATCGCGTTAATGCGCAGCACCAACTAATTGGATTTACAGTGGAAGTCCAGTTGAGGGAAAATGAGATGCATCATCTACAGAATTTGTATATGCATGTAAATGCTAATGGCGGTTGTCAGCAGGGAACAACAGGCCCTTTCATGTGACTCATGTTGAGGCTTCAACATGCTCAGCACAAGCGTCATGCGCCTAGAGCTGGGCATCGTATATATATATATTTTAATATTCATTTGATTCCATTACTATCCATTCCAACAAATCCATTTAAAAAAGTTATTTTAGTTTTGCAAAGCAATTAATCTGCAAAAACAATTTTAAGCATTAAACATTGATCCAAATTTGGTAATATAATATTTAAATAATTATTAGATAATACAAAACCCTTCAAAAGTCTGGGGGCAGTAAGATTAGCTGAATACGTAAGAAATCACAGTAAGAAATTAATAATATTATTCAGCAAAAATTTATTAAATTGAACAGAATTGATCAAAAATAATTTATAATGTTACAAAAGATTTCTATTTCCAATAAATGCTGAAGAATCCTGAAAAAAAGTACAACAGTTTCCCCTAAAATATTAGGCAGCATCTGAACTGTTTTCAATATTGATAAAAATGTTTGAATAGAAATGTTGAAAAATGTTGAAAATGTTTCTTGAGCACCAAATCAGCATATTAGTATGACTTCAGATGGATCATGTGACTCTAAAGACTGGAGTAATGATGCTGAAAATTCAGCTTAAATACAAATTTTAAAATATGTTAAAATGTATATTAAAACAGTTATAAAATAGTTCAGTTATTTTTTATTGTAAAAATGTTTTTTTAATCACATGAATGCAGAGACTTCTATAAACATATATAGAATTATTTTATTGACCAAACTTCTAAACAGTGGTGTATAAATATTAAAACAACAGATTTGAATTGATAATATATTATGTAATTAATAAGATGCATATACAAAGTATTCCATAAAATGAAAAATAAATTCAGTTAAATGTGTCCAAAATTTTAAATGCAAAGTGTGTTTGTTATAAAAATAGTTTGGCCTGTCATGCAAATATCATGCAGTTTTTCCAATTAGATGTGGTTTGAAAGGTCAACAGCAAATGATTGAGGCAAGTTTCTTGGTAAGGCTGTACGTAGCTGACGCTTTTCTCCACAGAGTTCAATGCACCTGCCAGTCATGTGAAAGGGCCTTCAGAGCAACCGACAGCATTGTGGATGTGAGATTGGCTCTAATAGGAGCTATGAGTGATTGGCATGCAGCAATGGGCTTTTTAGCAGTTGGCTGGAATAGATAGTTCCTATTTGAGATTTAACTACAGCCTCAAAGTCTCCTGCATGTGAATGAAGCAAAGGATAGGCAAATAAACCAAATCAAAAGTCAAACTGAAAGCTTAGAGAGATGCAGAAATTGTTTTAAAAGCCTTTTGTTTTAAAACAGAACATTAATCAATCATTCATACTTATGTTCACAGATTAAAGAAAGAGAAAACAGAAAAGGACTTGAATTCAGAACAGTTTGGCCCTATTCTAGAGCGGTTTACCTCGTCAATGAATGTGATGGTGCCATTGACTTGGACTATGCCTATCTGTTCGCTCTGCAGAGAGGGGTGACTACGCACACGCAGCCCTGCGCTGTCCTTGGCCACAAATTTGCGCACCTGAGAGAAGCAGAGGGGGAGAGACAGAGAGACAGTGAGACAGATGAGAAGATGGCAGGAAGCTGCAGTCAGAGAGCGAGGACTCACAGCACAGAGAGAACAGAACCCGCACTTCCTGTCAGACGATGGAAACGTCAGTCCATCTGAGAGACATTCAGCAGTAAAGAGCAGGAAAGACATCTGATTTTGTGCAGTTGTGTTGCTTGTTTCCCAGTTCAATACACAGTAAAGAAATAAAAAGTAACACTATTTGCACTGGTAAGTATAAATAGCACTGGCACCACACAGCTATCTGAACACCAATAGTTCACCAATAAACAGAAACAAACGTACCAAAAAAATTATATACATAAATTTCATGTAGTCCCTCAAGTAAACCTAGGTGCTAGGTGTAAGCTCAGCGTAAAATAATGACAACACATTTATAATAATTAAGTAATAAATAATTACTAAAATCCTGTTTAAAAAAAAAAAAGTTTCAGATGGATGTTAGCATGTCAAGCCACAGGATGTCAATTTCCAGAAAGTATTCATCATCATAAAATACATCAAATAAATGCTGTAATCATATACCATCTTCTTTAACGGAAAACATTTTTGATCATCATTTCCAGAGAATAACAGTCCAGTTGCGAACATTTACACTACATTTGAAAAGTTTGGGGTCAGGATGATTTTTTTTTAATGAAATTAATACTTTATACAGCAAAGACGCATTGAAAAATATTATAATGTAAATATAAGATTTCTATTTCAAATAAATGCTGTTCTTTTAAACTTCCTATTCATTAAAAAAATCCTGAAAAAAAGTGTCATGGTTTTCATAAAAATATTAAGCAGCACAAATGTTTTCAACATTAATAAGAAGAAATGTTTTTGGAGCAGCAAATCAGCATAACAGAATGATTTCTGAAGGATCATGTGACACTGAAGCCTGGAGTAAGGAAAATTCAGCTTTGCAATTCGCCAATGCGGGAAAGGTGGGTCTGACTCCGGGCTACCTTTACACTGTTGCCACGGGTTATAATGCTAGTTAGCGGTTCTAAATTCACATTAAACCACGGCTTAATTGGTTTTTTGCTCTAATTTATTTTTGGTTTTGTGCTGGTATTGGTATATTTTGCATGCTAGTGATAGGAATCGATCCCTTGACGTGATTGGTTATTGGTCATACAGCGCTATTGTGGCTGCGGTGTGTCACGTGTATGACAAACACCATGGAAATAATAAGGTGATACGTTCTAAAGCAAACGTTTATTTCGGAAGCGATCAAATCGCAATTAATCAAATTTAAAGCCTTGGTCATGTGTCTCCTAGCAAAGAGGTGCACATTTCTATGCAATTTTGCTGACACACAGTTTTTCTCTGTAACTGTTTACAAAGTTGGCAAAGTGTATGATGCCCAGTGCTTTAATGTGGGTAACAATGGGGTTCAACCGTAATTATACGAAGCTACGAGAATACTTTTTGTATGAAAAGAAAACAAAAATAACGACTTTATTCAACAATTCGTCTCCTCCGCGTCACCCTGGTGCCATTTTGGAGAGTATCCACTGAACGTAAACATCGTCTGTTATTCCGTGTCAGCTGCGTCACGCGTTATAAAGTCGTTATTTTTGTTTTCTTTGCGTACAAAAAGTATTCTCGTAGCTTCGTAAAATTACTGTTGAACCCCTGATGTCATGGATTATTTTACCGATCTCCTTGCTACGTTTCTGAACGTTGATCGTGGTAATTTCATTGCTGTCTATGGGAGGGTCAGAGAGCTCTCAGAACTCATCAAAAATATCTTAATTTGTGTTTCGAAGATGAACGGAGGTCTTACGGGTTTAGAACGACACGAGGGTGAGTAATTAAATACAGAATTTTCATTTTTGGGTGAACCAACCCTTTAAGATTAGTATATTCCAGTCTTTATAATAAACAAGGTGTAGATGTGGTATAAACCGGATAATTTTCTTAACAAGAAACATAATATTTTAATGTGAACATAAATGCAAAATCTTGCAAAATATGAACTTTGTCATAATCGTGCAGCCCTACAAAACAGTGTGCACGAGTTAGTGACTTTCAACCAGGAGTTAATAAGACAAGGGACTGGCAACATGCACCCACCCATAACACTCTCCATCCTGGTCTCCGAGTGATCATGCTCAAACTAAACTACACCGTAGCACTAACACATGCAGACACATTTAGTTGGTCTTTGTAAGTAATCGACACAGCATGCATGTAGACATTTGGGAGTGGGTCATTAGATGCCCATGGTTCACTGTAAAATGAGCCAAACTGAAGTATATCGAATGATCACCCTAAACATGCTGGCAGTTACAAATCCCGTTCCCAAATGAGGAATATGTAGGGGCTCCGGCTAATCTACGAAGGGCCTTTTACTTACGTCGACAGGGACGAGGAGGCTTCTGCCCAGATGCTGGTTAAAAGAGAGGCACCAGGCTTCAGTGTACCCATTCATGTTGGGAACATACTTCGTTACTGTCTCATCATTCAGTCTGAGCCAGACACCATCATCATTGTGGATCTATGGGAAACAAGCAACAGAGCGGAGCCATGCCCTCCTGTAACTGCTAAGACGCCTCTCGCACAAGCCTCTGAGGCTGCAGAGCCAATCGCGTTAATGCGCAGCACCAACTAATTGGATTTACAGTGGAAGTCCAGTTGAGGGAAAATGAGATGCGTCATCTACAGAATTTGTATATGCATGTAAATGCTATTGGCGGTTGTCAGCAGGGAACAACAGGCCCTTTCACGTGACTCAAGTTCAAGCTTCAACATGCTCAGCAGGAGAGTCATGCGCTACTTTGAGCATGTGAAAAGCACTGCAGTGCCATCGAAAGGGTAACTTCTGCCAGTTAACAAGACAGTAGGAAGTTTACACTACCACTCAAAAGTTTGGACATGAAAATAAAATAAAATTATATATATATATATATATATATATACAGTATATATATATATTTTAATATTCATTTGATTCCATTACTATCCATTCCAACAAATCCATTTAAAAAAGTTATTTTAGTTTTGCAAAGCAATTAATCTGCAAAAACAATTTTAAGCATTAAACATTGATCCAAATTTGGTAATATAATATTTAAATAATTATTAGATAATACAAAACCCTTCAAAAGTCTGGGGGCAGTAAGATTAGCTGAATACGTAAGAAATCACAGTAAGAAATTAATAATATTATTCAGCAAAAATTTATTAAATTGAACAGAATTGATCAAAAATAATTTATAATGTTACAAAAGATTTCTATTTCCAATAAATGCTGAAGAATCCTGAAAAAAAGTACAACAGTTTCCCCTAAAATATTAGGCAGCATCTGAACTGTTTTCAATATTGATAAAAATGTTTGAATAGAAATGTTGAAAAATGTTGAAAATGTTTCTTGAGCACCAAATCAGCATATTAGTATGACTTCAGATGGATCATGTGACTCTAAAGACTGGAGTAATGATGCTGAAAATTCAGCTTAAATACAAATTTTAAAATATGTTAAAATGTATATTAAAACAGTTATAAAATAGTTCAGTTATTTTTTATTGTAAAAATGTTTTTTTAATCACATGAATGCAGAGACTTCTATAAACATATATAGAATTATTTTATTGACCAAACTTCTAAACAGTGGTGTATAAATATTAAAACAACAGATTTGAATTGATAATATATTATGTAATTAATAAGATGCATATACAAAGTATTCCATAAAATGAAAAATAAATTCAGTTAAATGTGTCCAAAATTTTAAATGCAAAGTGTGTTTGTTATAAAAATAGTTTGGCCTGTCATGCAAATATCATGCAGTTTTTCCAATTAGATGTGCTTTGAAAGGTCAACAGCAAATGATTGAGGCAAGTTTCTTGGTAAGGCTGTACGTAGCTGACGCTTTTCTCCACAGAGTTCAATGCACCTGCCAGTCATGTGAAAGGGCCTTCAGAGCAACCGACAGCATTGTGGATGTGAGATTGGCTCTAATAGGAGCTATGAGTGATTGGCATGCAGCAATGGGCTTTTTAGCAGTTGGCTGGAATAGATAGTTCCTATTTGAGATTTAACTACAGCCTCAAAGTCTCCTGCATGTGAATGAAGCAAAGGATAGGCAAATAAACCAAATCAAAAGTCAAACTGAAAGCTTAGAGAGATGCAGAAATTGTTTTAAAAGCCTTTTGTTTTAAAACAGAACATTAATCAATCATTCATACTTATGTTCACAGATTAAAGAAAGAGAAAACAGAAAAGGACTTGAATTCAGAACAGTTTGGCCCTATTCTAGAGCGGTTTACCTCGTCAATGAATGTGATGGTGCCATTGACTTGGACTATGCCTATCTGTTCGCTCTGCAGAGAGGGGTGACTACGCACACGCAGCCCTGCGCTGTCCTTGGCCACAAATTTGCGCACCTGAGAGAAGCAGAGGGGGAGAGACAGAGAGACAGTGAGACAGATGAGAAGATGGCAGGAAGCTGCAGTCAGAGAGTGAGGCTTCACAGCACAGAGAGCACAGAACCGCAGATCCTGTCAGACGAGAGAAATGTCAGTCCATCCGATGAACTGAGAGACATTCGGCAGCAAAGACATTTGACTTTGCTCAGTTGTGTTGCTTGTTTCCCAGTTCAATGCACAGTAAAGAAATACACGGTGAAAAAAAACAAACAGTAACACTATTTGCACTAGGGCTGTGCGATTAATCGAATCGCAATTTGATATTTTCCCCCAAATTGCACAGCCCTAATTTGCACTCATATGTATAAATAGTCTCTAGCCCTCCACACTAACTTTCACCTATATAAACAAAAACGAACGTACCAATGTGTGTGTGTATATATATATATATAATAAGTAATAGATGCTAGGTGTAAGCTACAAGTAAATTGACAAAATATTTATAATAATTAAGTAATAAATAATGGATATTGAGAATATACAGCCACAGGATGTCAACTTCCAGAATCATACATTTCATAAAATAAATGCTGTAATCATATACTATCTTCTTCAGTGGAAAACATTTTTGATCATCATTTCCAGAGAATAACAGTCCAGTTGTGAACATTTACACTACCCCTGAAAAGTTTGGGATCATTATTATGAATCCTTTTATACAGCAAAGATGCATTAAAAGTGACAGTGAAAAAATTATAATGTTAATATAAGATTTCTATTTCAAATAAATGCAGTTCTTTTAAACTTTCCATTCATCAAAAAGCAGGGGAAAATGTGTCAAGGTTTTCACAAAAATATTAAGCAGCACAACTGTTTTCAACATTGTTTTTTGAGCAGCAAATCAGCAAATTAGAATGATTTCTGAAGGATCATGTGACACTGAAGACTGGAGTAATGATGCTGAAAATTCAGCTTTGCATCACAGGAATCAACTATTTTAAAATATATTCGAACAGAAAAGTTTTCAAATTGTAATAATATTCTGCAATATTACTGTTTAACTGTATTTCTGGTCAAATAAATGCAGCCTTGGTGATTTTATTTTTTTTTTTACCAATCTTACCAACCCAAACTTTTGAATGTGGTATAAATTGAATGGCTGAAGTGGTCAGACCTGATCCGTAGTCGCTTGGGAATTTGGGAACTCACCTTGCTAGGCTGAGGTTCAGCTTTAGGTTTGACCATCTGAGTGCCAGGAGGGATCATTCCTTTGGGTGGATCTTTGACCTCCACCTCCAGACCAGCATCTGAACAAACATTATTCTAGTCAGCAAACCCATTTCATGAGCTCTGTAATATCAAGTGTTACTACACTGGTTTAAAAAAACAAAAACAAAGACTTCATGCAAAACAACTATAAATCATATTTTCTTTTTTTTCTAATTTTCTGAAGAAACTACTGATTTTGAAAACCTATTTGAGCACTAGAAACATACATGAACCACTTTAGACACCCTCCAAATACAGAGCTCTAATATGAAGATGAATAAATCCTGAAAAGCAGTTACCAATCTCAATGCCATCGATGGTCACATGAATGGTGTACAGCCCAACAGCACCAGGGGTCCAGTTAGCGCTGTAGGTGCCGTCTGTGTTTGCCCGGATAAGCATGTTCTCACTGGGTCTGAGTAAAAAGTGAACACACTGAACATGAAACCCGGTCTTACATTTGAATTTGTTTGTAATTTATATATGACAGGTAGCAAAATAGTCTTTGAACCTCTTTGGTGTCGGTGAGGCGAAGCGAAGCTCTTCAAAGGAGTAATTTTCATATGCCTGCATTAAAAAAAAAAGTAAGTGACAATGTAAAAAAGTTGACGTAATGAAAATTCACCCTATATATTTTGTAAATGCATGTTATTGATCTTATATTGAATGATTCATCCAAGAATTAACTGCAAATTGTCATTGATTTTTGAGTGCAATGGCCACATCTCAAAATCTAATGAACAATGGATAGAATCAAATATCGGCCCTACATTTTTTTTCTCAATAATCCATTTCACATGGTTGTTCATCACAATACAGAAGAAACGATCTGCCATTAATTCCATTACATTACATAAAGTGTGACTTAAATGTCCAGATAATGCCGCCCGATTTAGAGAGGAAAAAAAAAAAAATTTTCTGATAAAAACTTATTGCGATTTTAAATGCAATTTTGAAAAAATTGCTGCGCTTGTTTGTAGGGCTGCCCAATTTGACCAAAATGTTGTACAAAAAAAAAGGGGGGGGGGGAAAAAAAAAAAACAATCTAACTTGT